CGAATCAGCCCACAGCAGATCTTCTGCAGTTCCGCTGGAAAGTAAATTCTGGTTAAAAAGATTGTGCAACGTGTGCTGTATTCACTAATGATTTTTTTCGTGACCCAGGGAATCTTTCTTTCGGAATCCGCCTCGTATATAAAGTTATCTCCAGCTCTCCTCGTTCTTTCGAGTCTCGTTTTGGGAAACTATTCTGGCGTTCGCATTGTGGTGTGGGAAGAAGGTCAAGGCTAATTCGGGGCGCCCCACCTTCTTTCAACATCGCTCACGGTGCCCTGTGATCTCATGCCTGCCGAACACAAGTTGCCGCGCCCGGAGTGGGCTGGGCCTGGCGCGGCGCTCCAGCATACTCCACTAGCGATACGATACACTGAGCGCAATTCGAAAAGGCGTGTGCCACGTTTTTGCGGGGGTGAGGCCTAATAAGTTCAAAGAAGGTGGAGTTGCCCGTATTCTACGGGAGTCTCGTTGTTTATCTGCTTCTCGGAGTATTCCGTTCCTGAAAATCTTCGAAAATATCGATTTTTGGAAATGGATCTCTTTTTTTAGTTTAAAGCCAAACTTTTAAACTGACGCCTGTTTGGAATCGCGCTTTACAAGTCTTAAATATTTTCGTTTACATGAGGGAAAAGATTATCTGAAAATGAATCCGACTGCTCTCAGTTACTGTGTGTGTGTGCGTGTGTGTGTGTGTGCGCGTGCGCGTGTGTGTGTGTCGCGGAGGAGAAAATGTTGCGATAGAAGCATTTTTGCAAGTTCAGGTGGTAAAATAATATTGCTTTGTCATACAAATAGTGCGAAAAAGAATTTGTTGAGCACCATGAGCTTGACAATAATATGGATCTTACGTATGTAAATTCATTCCAAATTCAGCACCCTTGATCTTGGCAAAACAAAATTCATTACAGTGAATTAATTTGTTTTTGAACTAACACAACAGTTAGTACTTCCACAAACATATTGTCTTTTAATGAGCTCAACCAAAACAGTGATGGAACACTGGATATAAATGATAGGCAATGCTAAATACAGTCTCACATTCCTAAATCTTTACTAACCTGAAAAATATTTAAAATATTTGCGACGTAACTTTACTGAATAAAACATTTGGCATGTTTATTTAAAACGGTCATTATGAACTATGAACAAATGTATCGATGGGCATTGTAAGTTATTTATTTATTTTAGCCTTTAGGATCCCATTAGGGGCGAAGGCCCTCTTTACAGGAAATGTGAGGTTTGCGTATATTATTTGTAAGACAAAATCATAATAACTTAATATAAACCGTAACAATAATACGAACTTAGCCACAATAACATAAACATAATCATAAGAACCGAATATACGCTTCCATATTGATTGTGACTTTTCACTTTGAGTTCATAGTTACTCTATTTAATATATTGTAAGTTAACAATTCCAAATTAAATACAATATTAAGGCAATATAATGAAATAGAATTGGAAAATATACATATATACAATGTCTTGAAAGACCCATCTGATGCATTCTTGTTCAAATAAACGGTGACATCTAAGGGTTAATTAGCCCTGGTAAGATTTGATGGCTTTACTTTTAGTTATTCTGAGGATAATCTTCCTTTGCCGAATTAAATACATAAATTCGCCAGCATTTGCTGCTCTCCTATACCACTAAAAGTCAGAAAAGTGTTGGGAAGGAAAAATCTATATCGCTTTCAGATCGATCCTTCATTTTCAATACAACCCCGCAAGTAGATAACAGTATCTACTGTTTTTACCAGTATATTCTGCCCTTGAAAATAATTAATTCCAAGGTTTATTCTGAGAGCATAGTGGTGGCAAAGGCTGTCAGCAAGCTGTTGACACAGCTAGTTGACACCAAGCTGGAGCTAATGTCTATGGGAACAAAATAAGCCGTACTCAGACATCTCGAGTGGTGAGTTTCTCCCGCTTGAGTTCTTTCCAACACAGCACGTTTCTGGAATTTACGAATGTTCTATTAGCTTTTACCATGTTTATTGTACTTCCTGTCAATAGTAATATGGAAAAAACTAGTTTATCTCAAGATTTTGTCGGAAATACGTATTGTGGAGTCTCCGTGATATCGATAAAAAATATTTCGGGAAATTGTCAGTCTGGTCATTTGTATATTGATTATGCTTGTGGCCTGGAGCAACAAAAGCAGCTAATCTTTTGAGCTCCATATTAAATTACTAAACTAGTAGTGCTACAACAGAGCATGCTTTCTTGCATTATTTATAAGTGCTCCGCCATTTTATACTACATAAAATTGGAAAAATGTTTTGAGTCAACAATTTATTCCTATCCTAGACCCAAACTCAGGTCCTCCGGGTTAATTCGCCGTGAGCCTTACCTCTACGCTATAGAAGCGCCGTTAGTCTCGAGATCGGGCCGACGCTTAAAAATGTAATTACCTTAATCCAATATTTCCAACACGTAATTTTCACAATTTTAGAAAATACGGAGAGTTTTGATGAAAATGAGATTAGTACAATATTTTTTACCTTCCCTTGCCACATACTAAGAGGAAAATTAAAAAAAAAAAAACTTCGCGCAGTTTGTGAGAAAATTGTTTAGAAAATTTCAAACTTGCATATACCTTGCGCAAAATATTTGAATTCAGAGTTAATACATTGTTTAATGAACTAGTGGTGCTACAACAGCACGTACTTTCTTGCATTATCGGCAACGGCTACGTAATACTGAAATATAGCATTTTCTGCGCTATTAACTCCTCGGCTATTCTTGGAAACGTCCAATTTAAACAAAGCGCCAATGAACCATGTCTGCATTCATTTCTATAGTCAGGAGCAATAATCATTTCTCACTTTGAGAAATGAAACCAACAGGAATTTATTACCCCCCTTATTATATCCGGACCCCGCGTCAAACGAAGTCCATGAAATGAAACTTTAAATTTTTTAATAAGTGATTGTGTTTTTATTTTTTTATATGTATAAACTAGTGTCTGTAGCCAAACTCATCTAATAAAATAAACATTTAAAACTAGTGCTAAAACAGCATACTTCGCCAAAGATATAAAGCTCGACTGTAAATTTATCAGTTACCACCACCACCACCACCACCACCACGATGTCGCCGTTCAACAATGAGCTTCTGAATTATCCATTGGGCAAATTTTAGTTTTGCTTTGCGGAGTGCTTGAAAGAAATACATCAATACATTGAGGATACAAATTGTAGAATAGAGAAAAAAAACTAATATTGGAAATTCAATAGTAAATTATAATTTTAAAAATTAAATTAATATTTTTTCGTATCCTTTGGATCCATTTCGGTTCCCGGGAATTTGCCTCATGGCCCATAGTTGCTGGGTATATATTTCATTAATTTCAAGCAGAAATGTCGCGAAACCACTATTTTTACAAACAAATGTACATAATCATTTTTTATAAGCTGATTGTTTACAACAGGATTTGAGGCCGAAATCTCTATCTTCAATTTTGTAGTTTTGAATTTTTTGTTGCTACTCAAAGGAACATGTTTCAGTTAGGAAGAACATCTCTCTTCAATATTACATTTGTAGGAAGACACCAAAAAATTTTGAATTTTTGTAATTTTCGAAAAATCTGGTATTTTAAACGAAAATGAGTCCTGCACCATTCTTAAATGTCCTTTGCATATCTAATAACAAGATTTAATTCAAAAAATGTCGGGGCTTGGGGCAAGTTGCCCCAACTTCCCCACCCTCATCTGGATGCCCCTAATAAATTCCCTTTATTACTTTGAAAACTACCATAGCCCTCGGCGCGGCTTTCTCCTTATAATAGTTGCGTAACATTTGTTTAGGTTCTTGTCGTAGCTGTTGTCGAGTTCAGGATAGACGACCCTGAACCCACCTGAATTCCCTTTCACTTTGCCACTTGTCCAGGCATGAACTGCGGAAGTTCCCGCCCTGGAGGCAGAAAGGTCGCTTCAGGCAGCCCTGTTTATTGAAGTCCTCGGCGAACTAGGGAAGCCACATCGTTTTCAAAACATCAATATTTATATCACCGATTTATTGAAGCCGAAGATTTTATAACACCAATTTTATGCTCGATGCCTTTACGTTGGCGATGTTTAATCTTCGATAGAAGAAAGGATAATAACGAAAAATGCGTTCATTTTTATATCTCAGTCAACATCCTCCCACGCCTAAGTCCCTAAGGGAAAAAAAGGGAGTTTCGTTATTTTTTGAATTGTTTATAAATCTTAGTTGTAAATTAAGAAACACGATCAATGTCAAAAAAAGTTATCTTCTTCCCCCACACGCCCTCCTCCCCGCTCGCCAACATTACCAATAACATTACTAAACCAGATTACAAAATATCGACGTTTTAGAACATAATTGGCATCGACGTTTTAATTTTGATCCCGTTCTATCGTCTTCCTCTTTCAGTTTGATGAGTGATTGTTTATAGCTTCGTTTTCTCAATATTCAAGTCTCGAGAGATAATCTCTCTCTTTCTTTCTCTCTTTCGTTTTCTCTTTCTTTTTCTCTCTTTCTCTCTCTTTCTCTTTTGCTTTTTCTCTCTTTCTCTTTTTCTTTCTCTCTTTCTCTTTTTCTTTCTCTCTTTCTCTTTTTTTTCTCTTTCTCTTTCTCTCTTTCTCTTTCTTTCTTTCTCTCTCTCTCTCTCTCTCTCTCTCTCTCTTTTTCTTCTTCTCTCTTTCTCTCTCTCTTTTTCTTCTTCTCTCTTTATTTTTTCTCTCTTTCTCTCTCTCTCTCTCTCTTTCTTTCTCTCTCTCTCTTTCTTTCTCTCTCTCTTTCTTTCTCTCTCCACTCCCTCTTCTCGTATAATATTTTCATTCAATATGATTGCTGTGATTGATCACAATTTGTAGCTTTCTATAGTGCTTTGTTTTATTATTCATTTAGTCATTTTGCCGTTTGTAATTAATAATTAAAAATTATTCTTATTCTGGCAAGGCCATTTGCAAGATGTATGGAGAATGTAGATTGTAGGCTTGTAATTTCTCTGTATTTAATTTCTTTTGCAGGATGAAGATGATGTAGAAGAATTAGTCCAACGCATCAAAACATCAAGATCTGCAACTATAGAAGTGAAAATTCCCAAAGATTGTGTGGGAGTTGTAATAGGTCGTGGTGGTGCAAACATTAAAGAAATTCAAGATAAATCAGAAACCAAAATCAACTTCAAAGATGAACGTAAGAAATCTTAATGAATATAGATCTGTCTGGTATATGTAAAGTGTGGAATTTCTAAAATATACGAAGTATAATTTACCAAATAATACCTAATTTTCTAACTTCTTTTTAGAACCTGAAGAGAATTTTCGAGTGTGCATTATTCGTGGTACACCAGAGGCAGCTCAACTGGCAGAGTCATTAATACATGAATTTATTTCCAATCAGCCATTGATTGAAGTTACTACAGTTTTGGTTCCACAAGTGAGTAAATGAATATTTTTCAGAATTTTCTTGATAACAGTTGAAAGTAATACAATGTTTTAAGTTTTTTTTTATCCATTTTGTGTATTTTTTCCCATTAATATCATTTGGTTTGGCTAGAATAAAAAAGTTTAATTTTCTAGACAAGATGTTTGAATAATGATCTCAAATTGAAATTCAACTAACATCATATGGAAATAATGCTAGTTTGAGGTCCACTTTCAAATATAATGACATTGAGTAAATTTGTAAGTTTTTAATATTAATTTAATTATTGTTACGAGATTTTACCGTATGTTTGCTCCACATTTTGAGGAAAATAGTAATATTCTGGAAATACTGAATGTATACCCTTGTTATATAACAGACATATACAAACATATGTACATTGTTAATTTAAATTGAATTTGTGTTAAAAACGTGCCCAATATATTTTTATAATTGTTGCATTAATGAGTATACGAATTGAGAAATTGTAGTTGAGTTTTCTTATAGCTTTTATATAGTGAATTAATTATATAGGGGTGGAGTGAAGAATAATAATGTATTAAATAAAACTATGTGGAAATTCTTTATCAATGAGGTTCTCAGGGGTGGCAAAGAATCGAGTGAGGTATCATTCTTGAGTAGATAAACTTTCTTCATTGTTGGGTTTAATAAAATGCAATTTATAAAACAAGCTGGGTCTTGCTTCACAAAATAAGGCAAGACATGGGTTGATAATATTGGGAATGAGGATTAACAGTTCATGTTAAATCATCTGAGAATGATTATGAAAGGATTATGTGTGAATTGAATCAATCAAACAGTTACTGACAGGGAAATGCTTCTGAGTAGTTAAAGAAACGAGATAAAAGGCACTGTAGCCACATATATGGTTAACAATGACCAAGTGGCTTTTAACATTTTTTATAAAATAAATTATCATAATGTATATTATCAGAATTTTTTAATAAGTTGTTTTATTAACAAAGTATTTAAATTTTAGAATGCTTGTGGACGTATCATTGGGCGAAATGGGGAGAATATTCGAAGCATTTCTCGGGCATCAAGTGCCAAAATCACTGTTGAAAGTTCAAGTACAAATGACAAATCATGTAAGTATTTCAAATGCTTTATAATAGCAAATAATTTAAATGTATTAACATTTTGCTAATACATTCAGTATTATTCTAAATCTTTAATAAGGAATACATTTAACTTTGGATTTTGAAGAATCAAGTTAGTTGGTAATCGGTTAACAGTTGGGGTGGGGGAGAGGTGCATGGGTGTGTCTCCCTCTACCCTTCTCCTTTGAAATCAGTCCTTTGAATCTTTTCATATTCGTTATGTTTGGAAGACCATGAATGTAACTAATTTCATGCATACATTTAATTAAAATTCCCCATGGGCTATCTACTACTGTATAAATCTTAACACATAATCTGTTACTCACAAAGAAAAGAAAAGAAAAATATGGTAGAGGACCACATATTTAATATTTACTTTGGCCTTCTTAATTCTGTTCTGAAAAATCAATTGAAGGTAAAATGTTTGTCGGTCTGCGATTAATGCTAGTGGGTATATAGTTAGCAGGTTTTCACCAAAATTGATATTTCCCTAATTTATCTGACTGATGTTGTGGTCCCTTGAATTTGAAACTGGAGTTTAAGAATAATTCATTGCATTTATGGAAAAAAAAGACTAATTTCCAGTTTGATGGTTTTCATATTTCAAACAATACCCACTTAGAGATTTGTTAATCTGATCTTATCATATTTATTTTTGCAGGCCCTGCTGGACCAGTTCGACGTGTATTTATTAAGGGGACAAGTGACCAAATAGAAATAGCAAAAGCTCTCATTCAAGAGAAAGTTGAGGAAGATGCTGAAATTCGTAAGAAAATGGAGAGCCTCAATTCACGTCCTCCTCGAGGAGGCAAAGAAACTGTCCACTACTTGACTGCTGGCCCTGAAGCACAGGTTTTTGCTTTTTTAATTTTGTTTTCATAACATTGAAAAAGTGGCTGTAACCTGGTTATCATAACACAACATAGCTTTGCAACATGTGGCTGTAAGAACGTAGAGTTGGTAATCATAACACAAAAATCCTTTTATTGCTAATGTGTTTGCTGGTTTCAAAACCCTCTTCGGTGCTGATGCTTTCCCTTTTCACTACTAGCCCCCACAGTATTGTTTGCTTCTAATCTAGAAATCTTTTTTAATGCTTCTCTATGATACCAAATTGTTTTTAAAATGCTCTGTGCTTAGTTTAAATTATTACTGTTCATCCTACATCAGCCATCTATTTCTTGACTATATGTGCTATGCTCTAAGAACATAGTGATACAAAGTGGTATAATTTTTGGTACAAAATATTTGCAATTCTATGTTATGCCATACCACACACAATCTGCATAATGAGCATTTTACACCAACAATTTTAGATCTTAGGCGGGAAATAATTTGAATGGCCTATGAGATTGAACTTTTTGTCTGGCTATATCAAACTTAACTATATAGAATGGTATTCATAACAATTGCAATCTTCAACAAAAGTGGGCTCAGTCCGTCTCTGTTGTTTTTTAACAATCGTACACTGCAGGACTGCTGGCCGTCACATCGACTTGGTATGTCATAGGAGTCATTGATTGAGTGACCTTGTTCTCTTGTAACAGCGGTCCCATTTTTGTATGGGTACAATGATTGTTTGAGAAAAAATGTCAAGTGTTAGTGGTTTATCAAGAAGAATGTGTGTGAACAATCTGAATTGTTTTAAACGTGTATGGATATTGTTTGATCAAGAAGCAGCAATTAACATAATTCCAATGATGAAAAGTTTGTATCTGGACTAGTTTAAAGTTAAATTAGGGGCTTGTGACAAAATATTTACTCTTCCCATGTCCTATTAAAATGACCTCATTTCAGTTATTCTTTGTTTATCTGAGTAAAATATTTTGATTTAAGTGAACAGGACTTCAGAGCTAGAGCTTGAACACTAGGTAGTTACAACTTACAAGTTGGGTAGGGACCAAAAAGTTACAAATTGTCCACTAATTGATTAATAAAAAAATTTTGCTGCCTGCATTGCATACCAAAGTGGAATTATAAAGCAATTTGCTTCAGACTTGAACAAATCTAATCTTTGTTTTCAGTTATTGTGGAAAATGTGCATTGCTGTCAGTAGTGAATATTAAAGAAGGCATTTTCGACGGCCCAGATATTTGCTATCTAATGAAGGATGTTGACTTTATAAATAAAATATTTGTCATAGAACTTCAAGCTTATGATTAATTTGGAGATTTTTTCAAGTTTCCTTAGATCTTCAGATCTTTTGCTAATCATTTCAAACTGCTGTATCAGTACTGTTAATGATTTGCCATAATTTATGGTGTTTGGCATATTGCAAACTATAGTTTCTAACAAAAAATTAATAGAACACTTGACTTTTCTTTTCTGCATAGCATGAAAATTTTGGTAAGAAAAATTAGCTTGCAGATTTGAATTCAACATGCTAAAATTACAATTAGTAACATGTTCAACTCTGTGCTACAGAAAATAATTATTTTGCAGGCCTGTGTAAGTGACATTTCTTTCTGTTGTTACTGAAATTTTGCTGAAGAAACAAGATATATTTCTAGATGTCAGCAAGTTTTAGTATTCTAGAGTGTTCTTGGCTCTCTGCGTGATGCCTCATTGAAGGGTATGATGCTGATGTTTCAATCATCTTATGGTCTTCCTCAGGGCTGGTCTAAGACTCTGGCTATAAACGCTTATGAACTGAAGTTTTAGTATCCAAACTAAAATTAATATCAAGACACATATTGCTTACTATGAAAGTGGGAATTTATATGTAATATCAAGAATTAAAATTATGATGAGCATGAAATGTCATGGAAATTTGGAAAACATATAGTAAAATATGTTAGATACTACAAACGAACATTATACCATAGGACAGGGCTGTCCAGCCTACTTCTCAGAAGAGGAGCTGCAACTTGGTCCCTCCTTTTTGAGGCAACTCTTCAGAAGAGGGAGCTGATTAAGTCATCATTGTGTCGATTGGCGGCATGTGAAACAGTAGGGCGTGTCGTGTTTCTACTGGGTGTTTTCCTGAAAATGTCTCCCTGTTCTGGGAAAGGATATTATGTCAGAAAAACAATAAAATATTTTTGTGATTTGGAAATAAAAAGGGTGACAATTTTCAATGCAGTATGGAGTGTAAAGTATATTTTTCCAGTTTGCACCGGCAATCCCAAATGTTTAGTTGCAAAAGAGTTCTCGGTCACATTGAGAAATTTAATTGAAGCTAACATTATACAGTTTATCATGCTGTTGAATGTGAAAATGTGATTGAGTTTTTTTTTTCAGAATTCTTACTCTATGTATAAAATAATGAGAATTCTGAAGTAAAATATGCACAGAAAGGTTTAAAATAAAACTGTAATGTATTCATAAATGCCCAAAAGAAAGAAAAATGTGGAGATATCCTTGTACTACACCTTTGTCATATGGCCTGTAAAATGAATACAAATGTGTAAAATTTATTTGTTATGTAAAAATGTTAACAACTGTATGTGTCAGAAAAAAGTTAGTGCTACTGAAGTGATTACTCCCAAATTTGACACAAATATTTTTGAGTCAAAAAAGAAAACAAACTGTGGTTGTGATGCAAATATTACAGCAAAATGTGCTCTTTTAACATACAAAACAAAATACAAAATTGGAACATGTAGTTTAACTATGGTAGATTACTCATTGTTAAAATCAAAAATGAATACCAGAGCAATGGGTGCCCTTCATTTTGATATTAATAGATAAAAATATACCTTCGATTTACAATAAAAAATTGTAAATACGATTATATTTCATATTTTTTACGTAAACTCTTGATTAAAGTGCAGTTATTGTGATAGTGTGAAGCAGCATTTTGTCAATTGTGGTCTTCAAGTCCTTAGTCAAAAGTGAAATTTCACAGGACATGGAAAACACCTATGGACATTTTATTGTTGAATTGTGGTGGCACAAAATAATAAAAAATGAGAATCAAATCTCTGAATTTAATGACAGTACAGTTTGTTCAAGAAAGCCATTGTTACAACTTAACTCTATGAAATAGATGAATTCTGATATCATTACCTTTGCTTACTAAAGCAAATTTGTAGACTCAACTCCAGGAAGAACTATGGTGAACACATCAATCTTGAAATTAACAGAATAATCTGTCGCAGAACTAATGTGTTCTGCGACAGATTATTCTGTTAATTTCAAGATTGATGTGAAACATTTGTCTAATTCAAAATGCAGTTACTTTTAAATTAATGATTTATGTGAAATGCATATAAAAAATGTAAAAGAATTGCTCATAAACTGCAGGAAAATTGTATTAACAATAATTATAATGCATGGGGGACATTTATATTTGTCATGAGAGAGTTTTGTGCTCTATCAGAGAACATCCTCACTACATTGTGGTATACTGAGTCAGCTGCAGCTGAAATTACTCTAAAGATTGTGAAGGAAGCTTGTCTTTGGGATTGCACTTGAAGATTGAATTTTAATTAATGGAAACATGGCAGCTTAAGCTAAGAAGTAATCTGAATTAGTAGCTATTTTGCTCCTTAGATTTTGTTTGTGATCTATTATTTTTAATACAAGTTTCATTGAACATCGTAAAATTGCTAAGACTGTTATTCACTTACTCTCTTCAAAAAACTTCACCATCTACCACCAGCACCAATACCATCACCTCTGTCATCACTGCCATCACACTTAAACTTACTGGTTATAAATAGTCCATGTTTTCCTATTTCTTTCTTAGTCTTTATGTATCTTCTTGCCCTTGTAGTTTGTAATTTAGAGATTTAGTAATTTGAAATAGCTTTCTCTTTTAATATTCCAGCCATATTCCTTCTCTTTTTGTGATTTCCTCTGTTTAATATTGTTTGGAACATTCCTTCATGTATATTGTTCTGTCACTACAAAGTCTAGTATAGTATAATGGTCTTTGTTAGAGTCAAAGATAGTCTTATTAGTAAACCAAGGAGGTGTTTTAGGAAACCTTCTTCGAGCCATCTCCAGATTTGGGTTTTTTCCTCAGGTTTAGGTTTCTGAGACATGAAACAACATAGGCTTGGCTGTGTTATTTGGAATTTTTTAATTTTGTTACCTGTATTATGTCTCACAAATTATCTTTTAATTACTCATTATTTATGGTAAATCATGGTTAATCTTCTATGGCATTTCAAAATTTTGTGCTGCCAATCGTAGAAATTTTGTTAAATGTTTTTGCCTAAAAATTGGAGAGTGTTATACTTGTTGTATTTGTAAATACTTGTTGTATTTGTCTCGCAATGACAATGTTCGCTCTTCTTTGCTCCTTTCCTTGGAAGGTCATTGCTTCGATTATTTTTTGGTGAGTCTTTGCTATTTTGTTTAATTTGTGAGCTGCCATTTTATTTTCTGACTCTTGCTATTGTTTTTTGTTGAGGTGTCCTTATGGTTTTGTTGACTTCTTTCACTCGATTTATAAAACTATTAGCATATATGATATTTAGGCTGGGTGATAAGTCTCAGGTCTGAGTGTCCTCTGTAGTGAGTGGTTTTCCACTTGCTAATTTTTATGGTGATTTTTAAGTGTATTTGTATTCCTTTAAAAATTGCTTGTGATATTCCTTCTTCCATATCTACCTTACAGTCCGATTCAGTGTATCATGAGTCTTCTCAAAATCTATAAATGACATAAATGTTGGCAGGTTTTGTGAATTTATATTATCTAATATTGTTTATATTGTTAAGACGGCATCCTTTAGTGCTTCTGCTATTCATGAAGTCATTTTTTATTTGTCTATGAAGTTCTTGCTGTATTTGTTCATTCTATTTCGTGTAATGTTGGCAAGAAATTTCGAGATGGTTGGTGCATATGTTATTCCTCTGTAGTTGTTACAATCTGTTTTTGTGCCTTTTTATATCTATTAGTTATCAAGTGTGATTGTCTTCTATTGGAATCATATATTTTATCCATTCTTTTGAAGAATTCTACAAAAAATTTTTTCAGCTTTCTAGTGCTGTTTTCTTGAAAAGTTCTATATTAATTTCATAGATTCCAGGACTTTCCTTTTTTTGATTTTGTAAGTGCTTGCTCAAGTTCCTCTTACACATTTCTCTTACTGTAAAAATGCATATTCTACTTCATAGATGGTAAGCAATGAAAGCCCAGTTGAAAATGGAGACGAAAAAACTGTTGAAAGGAGAAAGAGAGTAAAAAAACTGAAAAGAAGACTAAAGAAAAGTGACAGGAAAGAAACTAATTTGAAGATCAAACAAGACAAAGTTTTGATGAAGGTAAGAATGTTCTTGAGGGTGCTAGAAAGAGGAAGAAATATTAGATAAACACTTGTGGGATTAAAATAAAACTCAGAAGCAGAGGAAAATTGCCAAAGAAATGTGAATTTAAAAGAAAGGAACCTTGTAAATGTTTGAAACGTAAAACCCCCAATTATTGCAAGTTTAGCAGTTTGGGAGGCAGCAATGCTATTAACATCTACGTATATGAGTTGTTGTGTGCTTATTCATAGCTGGTTCATGCATGGTCTTTTTGGTCCTCATATCTTTTTACTTTTCTCATTGAATTTAACTGCTTCAGATTGCTTCATGTGCCATCATGGTACTGGATTAACAGTAAGACTTCAAAGTCTCCCACCACGAATTGAATCGACGACTATGTACGTGAAGGCATACATGCTATTCTGGAGCATATGTTTCAAGTATTTTAATGTTGCTTTTATTATTAACATTGTTCTTCATATTATTGTTTTTATTTTTTATCATTAACAACGTAGGGAAGAAAAAAATCCTTTAATAATTGAGGATTGTGCTAGCATATAATATGAATTGGGCTGGAAAATGATGCAAGGTATTTCAGAAAAGAGGTATTTTGAGCCTCCTTTGAGATGTATTAAAGTGAAATTTTGTTGTACCCATGAATTATAGAAGTCTGTGAAATACTATTTGTGATCTATTCATAGCACTTGATGATGTAATAAGTAGCTCCAATGTACTTCTGCTGCTTACATCGTTACTATATAATATTCCCCCCCCCTTAATAATTAGCATTTAATAGTTTACTGGCTTCTTTTATCGTTTTAAACTGACTGAAGTTCAGGAACATAAACAGAACAGTAATCTACATAAAATCATGACTTTTCTAACTCGTTAGTATGGTCAAGTTAATTACTACTTTAGTATCCCTACTTTTTCTCTATTACAGAAATTAATATGCTTACAGGAATGCAGCCCTTACCAAGATCTTTCCAGTCTAATTCAGTCTACTTTCAGACTAATAATGTGATCTATGTGAACCGTTCGTGAGATGCAGTTTTCCCTACACTATTATTAATCTATATTCTACCATATCATAATTTCGTAAATTACTATCTACAATAAACAGACAACTGTTATTATTACGTTAATTATATCGGGTGTTTAATATAAATGTTTTGTGTTAAACAGGTCCAAAGTGAAACTGATGCTTCTGAGAAATTAGCGTCGGTCAGCAGTGATGGTAGTGTAGAAGTCTATGTCTCAGCTGTCAGCAGTCCTTCCACGTTTTGGGTGCAGGTATGTTTTGTTGTTGTTGTTGTTGTTGTTGTTGGTTTTTTGCTTCCTGGGTTTAGAGACTATAACAAATGTAGGAGGGGAGGAGTAATTTAGAGTCAATTTGACTTGGGAACAAGAAATCAGCATTTGAAGACTCATTGCTCTTTCTTCTATTACTTCATTGAATTTATTATGTTAAAGTGTTTGTATACTTAAAATACCCATTCCCTCGTTGCTAACTGACTCTCGCTTTTTGTCTTTGCATGAAATCTGTTTGCTTACTTTTTCGTGATTATAATTGTTTTTAACATTCCATTTCAATGCAAGAAAGTATTTTTACCTATGTCAACTTGTTCTTAGTTTGCGTGGGTGCACATTCCCCGGATAATAAACACAAAAATTTAATCTAAATACCGGATCCCGCAATATACATCTTTCCCATTTCTTAAACCTAAGATTATTAATATTCGAGATATTGCACCAATATGAAAGAATACAAAATCATTTTGAAGCCAAAAACACCAACACATGCTTCTTTCTCTCTCTCTCCTGGCCGCTTCTTGCTCTATACAGGGCTGCACTATGTCACCTCTTGGCTCTCTTTACTGTTATTCCTTCGATACAGCAGCCCACATCAGCGGTAGACGGTTGTGTTGCCCAATCATGGCCATCAGAAGAGAATACAATTTACTGTGCTTTCTTAGGGCTTCTTGGCCAGCCATAGGTAGACTTGGTGCGAGGATGAGCATGTTCACAGCAGTCAGGCTGACGTTCTCAGCCATCATGTTGTGGCCTTCTCTGATCTATAATGCCTGAGTAGCATATACTTGCTAGAACCCACAAACATGATGGCCAAAACATCAGTTTGAGACGATCATGATGTCTCATCCTGGACACGCCAAATATCAGAACAAATTTACTGTTCTTCATCTGACACTAGTTGCATATTAGTTTTATGTATTTCCATATTATCATGAAAGTACACCATACAGTCAAATTATTGACCGATATGAACGCATTATTTATGAAATTTGGAGAATTTATTTTCATTTGAGACCAGATTTGTTGATTTAAAATGTACATTTGAGGGGTCCTTTGTGTAAAATTGGCCACACTGGAAGGAAATCCCTTTCTGTCTCTCACGGTGAGTGCATTTTCAGAGCAACAGTTACAGTGTGCAAGCATTATTGTGAATACAAATGTGTGGGGAAGATCTTTTTTTAGAATATTATTTGTGTAAAACATGCTGAAGCAATAGTGCCTTTTGCTCAGTGCTGGAGTGTGATCACTGTATTTTCAAAATAAAGTTTTTTGTTTTGTATGTACTCTATTACCGTCAATTCTCTCAATGCGAAACTAATACAAAACCTAGAGTACCCACTGAAAATCAAAACCAGAACCACACGCACAGGAGGTGAATATATTTGATGCGCTCACTACACAGAAAATTATGTAAGTAATATTTCAATATAGACTTTTAATAATGTGTTTTAAATAATTTACATGAATTACTTACATTTTTTTTATATATTAGTGTTCTGAATTTTGGAAATTACATTTCTGTCATTCAATGGAGCTGCAACCTCTAGTTTGTTGGGGCATCAGCCACCACTGATTTTAAAACTGCCAGAAGGCATCAGTATCTCAAAAATGTCAATTTCTTGACTCGCATAGTTTCTTCCCCAATCCTTCATAAGATCAGAAAGTAGTCTCATGTGAAAATGGCTGGATAATTTGTAGAGATTTTCCATTTTGTTTGTAGAGATGACAAATTGCAAAGAATGCTACAGGAATAAATGTTCTAGCCATTGAGGAATTCATCGTTGGGAGCTATTGGCTTGTGACACAGTTCCCTTAAATGGAATTTATATCTTGTGTAATTTTCCATTTTTCCAAGCAGTTGTTAGAAAAACAGTATATATAATATGCTATTCTCTGCATACACCTCTCTACCTTTTCATTCTAATGTTATTAGAATTAAGCTGTGTCAACAGTTATAGTAATATTAAAACTAGAATGCCCAGCAGTGTCATTTTGACACCTGCCGCTCTTTACATCCTTGTAACTTCTTTGTTATTATTGATAGGAATTTGCAGTTTCATGACTTTTCATTCTTAATATTTATTTACATTGTGTATTAAACATTGAAAAGACTAAAATCTGTTGTATTTTACAAAAATGATCGAATTGACACAGTATGCTCAGAAGGCATCATTTCGACTCCATTGGTTGACCACATTCTGTAACTTCCGTCTGTATAATGAATTTCAACGCTCAAATTTTGCACATGTTTCTCCCAACACTTCAGATATCTTCTGAAGAATTAATTGAAATATTCCTTCCACTTTGGATTGTATTCTTGTTCAATACATGTAAATTGAGGAAATGCAAGTTGTTTTGTTATTGTATAGCAAATATAACATTACATTTCTAATAGAAAATTTAGAAAAGTCTAACATGAAGAATAGCTTGTGGTTGAAATTCTCCAGCATCGGACAACCATTAAATACTAACTGAAGGGAAAAAAAAGAAACCCAGAGTGTAGAAGAAAACAATGTCTGTGAAGGGAGATGGCTCGAAAAGAAAGCACAAGTTCTTCGGTTTAAAACATTCACTCCTTATGAGGTTATTACTAATTAAGTTTCATCGTCTATCTCTTGACTCTAACAAAGAACACAATACTATACCTTAGACTTTTTAATCCGTGAACAGAAGATAACAAACACCAGAAGGAATCTTGTCCTAAACAATTAACAGACTTCGCGTTCCAGCGAACTATCAAAAAGAACCAGAAAAGAGAAGTGAAAGAAGTAAGAGAAAGAAATGCGAATAACTTCGCCTTGTTCCTCGGAAGTCATGTATCTAACAGGTGAAAGGAAGAAAGCTTTTCAAATAACTAAATCTCTAAATTACAACTACAAGGGCAAGACGATACATAAAGAATAAGAAGAATAGGAAAACATGGACTATTTTAACAGTGTAAGTTTAAATGGGGTGTGGATGTTGCCAGAATGTTGATGGACATGACGGGTGATAGGTATGTTTTGCGCGTAGTCTACGTGGATTGCGTTTAAGAGTTGTGAGTTTTTTTGAAGAGAGTAAGTGTAATAACAGTCTTAAGCAATTACGATGTTCACTGAAACTTGTGATGTAAAAAATAATAGATTCACGGCTTGAAATCTGAAAAATTCTAAGGGAGCCAAAATGCTATAATTGTTATTGTACTTCTTAGCTAAACTAGCCATGTTTCCTATCTATATAATTTCAATCTTCAAGCAATCCCAAAACAAAGCTTCCTTCAACAATCTTTAAATATTTCCAGGCTGCAGCTGATTCTCTAGGTTTATACACAAATGTAGTAGACGATGTTCTCTGATAGAAGCACAAAAACTCTCTCATGGATCAAAATATAAATTGTCCCCATGCATTATATTGATATGTGTTATACAATTTCTTTACGCTTGCAGTTTATGAGCACAATTCCTTTACATTTTGTTTTATATGCATTCACCATAAATCAGTTAATTTAAAAGTAACTGCATTTTTTTGGAATTATGACAAATGTTTAGCACACTCAACTCTTGAATTAATCGAGTAATAATCTGTCGGCGAAACACTAGTTAGTTCTGCGACAGCATTATTCTGGTAATTTAACAGATTGATGTGTGTTCACCTAGTTCTTCCTGTGAGTTGACGTCTGACAGAATTACATGCCTGTTAGTGAAGCAAACTGGCTATGATAGTAGAATTCCGATTAACTATTTCATAGAGTGTTAAGTTTGTAAAATGGCTCTTCTTGAAGGACAACTGTGATACTGTTATTAAAATTCGAGAGAGATTGTGATTCTCATTTTTATTATTTTTGTGCCACCAAATTCAGGACAATAAAGATGTCCATCAGGTGTTTTCCATGTCCTGTTCGAAATTTTCAACCCTTTGGCATCTGAAGGACTTGAGTACCCATCAATTGACAGAATGCTGCTTCACCTATCACAATAATGACTTTTAATCAAGAGTTTTACGTCCAAACAATACTGAAATATTAATCGTACCGGTTACAATTTATTGTATGTGTAAATCGAA